TGGTAGCAAGGTCTCATCATTTTACAGTTGAAATGGCGAGATGTAACTACAAGTTCTATGCTAACAGTTTCTTCTATTGCTTGTGGAACTCTCTTCCAATTTTTTGCTTCCCAGTCAATTTTGAGCTTCAAAAATTTAAATGGAATGTCAATTGTTATTTTCTGTCTTCTTAATTCTTGTTCTTTTATTGTTCTCTCTCCTCAATTTTTTTTATCATATTCTCTAACACTCAGTAACTCCTTGCATCTTAGTGGCTTTATTGCCTTGCATGGGATGAAATGATTTAAAAAAATAAAGTCCTATCTGTGCAGGTTTATTGCTTACAAAAGGTGAACTATAACAAATAAAATCCCAAAAGTGGGAAGGTAAATTAAATTTAAATTTTTTACTGGCATTTAACATCAGAAGCTACAAATTTATAAGTATTCCATGATTTATTATTCTAACATTTAAACTATGCAACACATTTTAGTCAAATTCTGGTCAACAATATTTTTGCATCTCATAAAAGCACAACAATTTCATAGAAACTATGTGGCAAAGATGCAAATCAAAAAAATCAAACCAATGCATAAACCAAGAAATCATGGCACTGTTTTGCAGAGTTTATTTGGAACCAAAAACTCATTTCACCATGGATTTATATCTGGTTTAATATTATTACTTCTTGAATTTGTATTAAATTAAAAACACTTTTATTGATGATTTCCTTGATTGATGGATCTTTTTATGACTTATCAACTCTTTTGCAGGTTATTTAAAGCCAGAAAATATTTCTATATTGTAACAATTTTTTTCTTTTTTGGAGATAATAATGGTTTAGTGATACAAGTCTTACTAATTATCCCATAACTGGTGGGAGAAGAGGTGAACTCATACCATTTCCTAAGGGAATATTGTACCTTTGTCTTCTTTTCAATCACAATCGGTGAGACCACTACAAACTCCACACACAAAGCATGACCAACCTGACATGTCGGCCTCTGCTGCTCCTTTTGATGTTCTCTCATGCTCATTTTATCAAGTGTCTGAGACTCAGAAATTTGCATAAGCCACAAATTTGTCTCTCAAAATCGGAGCTCAAGTTGTTCTTAAATTGTAGCTTTTGGATTGGCCATATTTTCTTTCACACATTTCGCATGCGAGACATGGATGAGTGCATTTTGTTCCACGAGGTAAGCCATTTTCCCTTCTACAAATATAACAAACCCAACTGAAAATGGAACTCAGCTCTCCAATTAACAATTCTGAGCCATGATCCATTACACCACCTGCACATGGCATTCCCAAGTGGTCACCCATCTAGGTACTGACTAGGCTCAATGGTGCTCAACTTTAGTGATCAAACATGAAACATATGGCTATAAACTTATAATTTTCTTGATTGAAGACATAATAGTTTCCAGATGTTCAATTTAAATGTCATAATGCCAATTTTAATGTGCAGAAAAAAAATATACGTTTTGAAAATGTATAATAGCACTGAATTCTGAAAGTGATAAGAATTTTATGTTCTATTAGACTATATCATTAGAAGACATTGTCTGGCATTATATTTGCATGTTTATGAGCAAAATTTAAAGATCTAACTAACATCTATACATTACTTTATAGCTTACATTTGAGGATTTCTTTTCAGAAGAATATCAGTACCACAGACAATTTATGTAGCAGTCTATTTAATTGGGATCAAAATAAAGTCATTATTATATACTCTTTTTTTTTCTGACATAAATTTCCCCTTAAACCACTAATTCACTAGTGTTTACCATGTAACAGTACAACACTCAAGTACTTTCACTTCCATTAAAGACTTATTATTTTATATAAATAAGTCTATAATTACCTGCCTGTTCCTAAACTAAAAGCAATCAGTAGATACTAAAAGAAACAAGGTTTTAACAGATTAACAACTTTAAAATAATTCAGGTTTCTAATTTTTTTCCTAACTGCAAACTGAGAAAGAGAATTTTGTATGTTATTTAGATGCTAAATAGAAAACTAACAAATCTTAGCAACTCTAATAAATCTAATTTATTCTGCTTTATCTCGCAGTATTATTTTTATTTGCAAGGCAAATAAGTGTCTTAACATATTTTTAATAGTAAAAAAGATTGGAGAATAATGAAACTGTAATGATAACTGCTCTTAAATCAATTAACGTATGCATGTTATAAGATTACAACAAAAGTTGCAGTTTTGTTTCAGCACTACTGGTGTCTTATTAAGTGAACTTGATCTTATCACTTGATATTAGAAGTGTCAAAACAAAACTGCAACTTTTGTTGTGATCTTATAAAATGCACGTTATAAATTTGAATATTAACTCTACTCGGTATTGAACACTCTTAAGAATAGTGTTTTTTGCTATTCGAATTTTATTCCATGTGTACCAACCCTGTGTGTGTGTGTGTGTGTAATTATACGAATGGATATTATTTTAATTACGTCATTTTATAAAACAAGTTTATGGCTGATTTATTCAAACAAACAAAATTTGAATAAAGTTTTCAGATAGTTTTTTTTTTTATAGACAATAAGTACTTCAAAGTAAAAAATGGTAAGGTCAAACAGATCTTAGTCGTTGTGATCCTAGCAATAATCAAAGTCATCTAATTTCTTTAAAAATCGAAAGATCCTAATTGAAAACTTTGAAAGTATATTTCCTGAAGAGAATGCCAAAGTTTTTGATAATGATACTTTCAACATAGAAATTATAACTGATTACTCGAACAATGAGAGGATAAAAATTTAAAATACGACTTCTGTTCAAGCTCAAGTATCTAATTTTATTTATAGAATTGCAAATCAAAATTCAACACCTTTCAAAAGCTATCAATGAATACCGTTTCCATGTAGCGATACATTTTAAGAGTACAATGAAGTTTCCTAACAAGTGGTGGCCCACGAGAGAAGTCTTATCAGAATAAAGGTAATAAGCTCAGTGACACGTTTTCAGCAACTTTGGATGATAGCCAGGTAGGTTTGAAAAGAAAAGGATTAGTGTTCCTCATTCTCTAACTATTGTTTGCACTACAGAGCAAAAAATAAATAAATAAAATATCAATTCTCTGTTGAGTTTCATTTATAATTACAGGTAATAAATTTTATTTGTATAATGATTTTTTTTTTTTAAATACAACTAGGCCAGGGTATATTTGATGTGTGGAGGGGAAGTGTGTAAGTAATACTACAGACTTTCAATTTATTCAGAGGTTAACTAACTTTTTTTTAAGAACTCTGTTCACTTGAGTCATCAACTTCAATTAAAATAAATAAATAAATTTGCTTTCTATTAGAATTAACCCAGTCAAGTTGTTTTTTTTTTTAAGTTTTCTCGCGACCTTAGACCAGAAACTGAAAACTGACAGAAAAGAAAGTGATAATAGATAAATGTGAAAGAGATTTGAAAGTAAGTTTCACTGAGGCGCGGGGGAGGAAAAAAAAAAAAATATATATATATATATATATATATTATTGGAAAAAAACCTATTGCATACTTTATAAAAATACCATCACTATTATTAGTATTTAATACTTCAAATATTTGTTACGAAAACTAAAAACATTTTCTCTAAATAAATTTATATAGCGAATAATGAACTACACGTCACGGGTTTAAAATACTTTTGTCTTGAAACGTAAAAAAAAAAAAATCCCAAGTTAACCGTCCGTTCAATGATCCATATGTCACGGACATTTTTTTTTTTTTTTAAATACATTTAAAAATAATAATATATCGGTAAGCTAGTAACAGCAGAAATATGTAAACATTAAAACCTGTAAATTTTAAATTGTTGACTTTACCTTTTTAAACGAAGAAAAGGCGAAGATGCAAAAAAGAAAAAAACATTTAGTAAACAAAAGACGAAGCAAACCTTCCATGCTATTATTAGCTTTAAAAATGCTAACTTCTAAACAATTCTAACGATAATTTAACGGAAACATAATAACACTGTTTAGACATTGATAACGATAATTATTATTTTTCATTTCCTTATTATAAAATTATTCTTGCTTGTTTGTTTATTTCTATGTTTTTCATAATAAAAATGACAACGCGATTTACGATAGACAAAAACAAAACTAATAAAGATTGGTTTCAAACATGGAAACCATGTCTGTGTAAACATGATTACTTGTTTGTATTTAAAAACGTTTAGGTTTGTTTTTACTATACTGAACTATATTTTTGAACAATCAAACAGATAATTCGTTATGAAACTTTCAAAAATTAAAATGGAAATTTTTATTTATTTAAATTTACTTTAACAAATCAATTCTTTTAAACATCTTCAAAAGTACTACTCAAACAAAACTCTTTTAAAAAAATAAAAAAATGTCTTCGTTGTTTCGCTTAAAGTACAACACAGTCTACTACTTTAAACATTTTGTTTTTATACATTTAAATAGATGTTTCTTAAAGAGAATAGAATTCGTTTTATGTCAGATTTGATAGCAAGAATATTAAGATGAATTTGAAAATCAAAACTGTATTTTTTACATATGGAAAGTTTCACACAGCATGGCGAAGGAGACGTTTGTTGCAGTACAACAATCATTAGTGAAGTCGAAGAGTTCATAATTAATAGAGTCCACCTGTTTTAAATAGATTAATTTATGACTTACAAATCTAATTTAATTTAAAGTAGGACAATATACATAAATTTGATCAAATGGTAGATCAGAAACGATCAATTAATAAACAAATACTTTTTACCTGTGTGAATAATATTGCTGATATCGTTGTTATTTCGATCGTATATAAGTTAAAATAAAAGTAAAAATTGCTTCAATATAATCGACAACGATTGCTAAAGATGCTTATTTATATATTCTACAGTATATTTAAGAGAGTTTCAATCAACCAAACTATATTTTTTCGAAGTCGATATACCTGTATTAAGTGTGTCACGAATACATGTAAGTGTCGTTTGTCTTTGAATAAGAATTTTTTTTCCATTTGTACGTGTGTATAAAAGTCGGTTCAATTTACGTACCTTTTTTCAGAACCTTTAACCATAAGTCCACTATCTTTTTATGATGTGCTTTATGGTGAATAATCCACAAAGACATACTTTGAATGCCATCTTGTGTATTATTAACAGCATGGAGTTTACGTTCGACACTTTCTTCATTCAGGGTTGACGCCATGTTTCAGGTTTGATGTTTACTCCAGGAACACGACGGCCTTCAGGTGAATTCTGGACGAATCTACCGGAAAAATACACCGGTAACCATTGCAACAAAACAGCAATTATTCATTATTATATTTTAAGTTGTTTAGCAACGTCAAATTAATCTATTTTTTACCAAATTTTCTTCTCTCTTCGTACATTACAACCTTACACATTTGTGATATCCGCCATATTGGAAATGTAGTTGTATATTCGGTGTTTTCCGGAGAAAACAATTTCAGTAAAGAAAAATATAAATCATGAATAAATTATATTTATTAATTTTATTTTGTCTCTATTTTAAATATAAATAAAATTCTGTGGTTAAAATTTAAAAAATACACAATTTTATTCATTTATTACGTCACGAAGGGGGAAACTCTACCCGTCCTCCAGTAAAAGATGATTATGTATTACTGTGGCTGCTGTGTATAAATGGAACAAGCACATGTACTTGTCTGGTAGTCTCGTCGTGCCAGGGCTAGGGAACGGGTGTAAGTGGCGCAGTTTGGCGTTATTGAAGGACGGCATTAAAAAGAAAAAAATGACGAAGAGCTGTCCTAATCCGAATCAAAATATAAAAGGATTATGTTTAGATGTCTTTACCACAAGTTAAGAACTTACGTTTACTGATGCCTATAAAGTTAGGCACCAGGAGAAAAGAATATGACATTTATAAACACGCACATATAAAGTTTTCTGAAACCGACCAAAGTGATTATATGGGAACAAACCAGGCTAGTTTTACCAATGGCAGGGTGATGGTTACGGTTTAAAAAAAATCCAAAGTTTTTTTTATTTTTTTTTTATTTTTCCCATCCAGAACCACAGAATCCCCCCCTTAAAAAATCTTTAATATATTCTTCCAACAAAGCCAGAGAACTGCCCCGTGGAATTATTGGATGTATGGAGAAAACAGTATGGCAAAACGTAGATATGGTTTACGTACCAACTCAGTGGCAGGAATTCTTATTGGCATCATCAGCGGTATACTACTGGCCAGTTGGAGTCGGTATCGATTCTTCTCTTGCAGATTGTCTCCGGGAACCTGTTGTAATTTTCGCCGTCTTCACAACGATCCGTTGCAGGCGACTGCCTCGCAGTTTTTTGCTTCGTCCACGTCTTCATCCTCCCGACAAAGCCAGGACCAACAACACGTCGGAGAGGAAGAGCGATCTGGCAAAAAGTTCATCTTAGTTGGCGTTATGACTGCTGAGAAATACTTAAATACTCGTGCTACGGCTGCGTATAAAACATGGGCCCGGTCTATTAATGGAGAAGTAATTTTCTTCTCTGGCGAGTCTTCGGAAGGTAACGGGGATATCCCGATTGTCGGTCTGGAAGGTGTGGACGACACTTACCCGCCCCAGAAAAAATCATTTAGCATGCTCAAATATATGCATGATAATTACATTGATCAATTCGAATGGTTTATGAGAGCTGATGATGATGTCTACATTAAAGGGGGTCGATTACAAAGTTTTCTTAGATCGATCAACAGTTCACGGGCGCTTTTCATCGGCCAGGCCGGACTCGGTACCAAAGAAGAATTCGGCCAACTGAGCCTGGAAGAAAATGAAAACTTTTGCATGGGCGGTCCCGGGATCGTTCTCAGTCAAACGACGCTAAAACGTCTGGCTGGACATATAGACCATTGCCTCAGGAATAGTTATACTACACACGAAGATGTTGAAATTGGAAGGTGTGTCAAAAGATTTGCTGGAATTTCATGCACATGGGCTTTTGAGGTGAATACTTGTTTTTTTTTTTTTTGTTTTTTTCTTCAGTTCCTTTCATTCGCTCTCTTTCTCTTACAAAATCTGACACTACTTAGTTTTAAAAAAAATGATGCAATGTTTTGTTTTGTTTTTTATTTTAACTCTTCAATGTTAAATCATTTTTGCATGAAAAAATGTGTTTGAAAAGTTCTAGACTTTTACTTAGAAGTATGAAACTTTAGGAATAGAACATATTTACATGGGGTGGAGATTGTAATGTAACTCCATAGAAATATCATGGAGTCAATTCTTTCTTTTCTATACCTACATAAAGTTTGAAGTCTGCGAAATGTTTTCCTTTTTTATTCTGTATATCTGACTTTTTTTTTTATACTTAAAATATAGTTTGTTTTATTTCTGAAACTTCGTTTTTTTTTTTTTTTTTTTTTAAAAAAAGAGATACTGAACTTCCTGACAAAAGTACACGAAGTACTGTGGCGAAAATAAAATGTGTGTGTGTGTTACTGTTAACGGAACAATTACTAGTATAAGTATTACTCTTCATTTTTTATCGCCATATAGCTGTTTTATTCCATTAAAAAAACACATTAAATTACAATGAATTTTAGTGTTCCTAAAACACACTTTTTAAAAATTTGTACGCACAAGTAAGTTATGTGAACTTCAATGTTGCGCATCAACTTGTTCACGGAGTGAAATCTGTTTTCGTTATTTTATGCAAATCTGAAAAAATATTTGAAAACTACGTTGTGATGTTATTAAATATAAATAAATGGATTTGCTGGTTCATTAATAATATCATTGGCTGTTTTTATTATTTTCATGGATAACGAACAAAATGAAACTTTAACAAAGTTCTCTCTCCTGATTCTATCCAAGTCATCCATTGTTGTTAGCATTTGGGTTGATGCGTGTGTAGAGATAGACTAGTCTTTTTTGTGATGTAGTAGTAACAACGGAAATCAGACTGATGCTGCTGAGTTAGGATGCTGTACCTACTACACTACACAAGTCTGTCCTCCATCTATAGCGCTGAAGTTCCCTCTCTCTTCGTCACTCTTCCCTCTTCTCGAAAGTTTTCATTTACCCACGATTCGTGCGGGTGTGCGGCAAGACTAGCGCGTGTGCCTAATTCAGCCAACTCAAAGATTCGAAAAAGTTTCTGTTGAAACACATTTACTCGAAATATACTTTATTTGCTTTCCTTGTAGAAAAAAACAAAAAAAAAAACAAATGACGCCGACTGTTCGTCATTTGACAATGAATTTTTACGCATGTTTTTTCTCTTCTCTTTTAACATTACCGTTTTCTTTAACTTTTATAGTTTGAATTTTTTCCTTTTTCAGTTCTGTTCACTCTTCTCTTTTACTATTCCTCTTGTGTATTTCCCTATTTTGTTTACATTTAACAAGTCCTCTCCACTGTCTCTGTAAACTTCTACAGTGTACTACTAGAGTGTGTATGTTTATTATTTTTAACTATCTTTCAACCAATACAAGGCCCAATGGGGCGCTCTAAGTAATTGGTAAATGAGGTTGTTGCCGAGGAATCAAAGCAACAGAACTTCATTGGGTCGAAAACATGCCATTATTTTGAGAAATCTGACGAGTAATATCACAAAAGTTTTTTTTTTTTTTTTTTTTAAATCCTCGATCTTTCCAAATTCCATTCGATCAGCAAATCTTCTCCACTTTCTCAGTGGAGTTGAAAATTTCTTTATAAAAAAAAAAAAATTGTATCTTTTCAAACTTATAGAAACTATGATGCAAAAATAGATTGCTAGATAAAGATCTTGAGAATAAGTTCTTAACTTTTCTTGTGTGTTTTTGGGAGGATCCGGAAGATTATAAATACATTTGGACTTTTCCGCACAATCACTTTCTAAAAAAACACATGGCATGCAAACTGATGTTTGACACTCACTTTTTTTAGTTTTTGTATATAGAAGCAGAATTTATTTTTTTCTAAACACAAAATGCTTGAAAACCATAGTTTTGTCACGGAGCTTGATCTCATGCCAAGAAGCGCCTACATCACTTAACACATAACTTAGTTTGGTCCAAGGCTAGACGTGGGGCACTCAATGAGGCTCACATTTTTTATATTTCTGAGGACTTTGTTTTGTTTTTTGTTTTTATCATTAAAAAAAAATTACTTGCATGTCATTTACAAGTTATGTTAGGATTGCTCAGTATGCTGAATAGCTGCAATTGTGTTCCTTTGCCCCTAGCATAACTTGGTGTAATCTCACGTGTTCATACAGAGTAAAGAAAAGAGGGACACAATCTATCGTGTTTCGTGTGTAATAAATTTTCTTGTTTTTTATAAACACGAACCAATATTGCCATTTATCCAAAAGGACATGTTAAGTTCATTTTCTTTCACAAAGAATAAAAAAAAAACAAAAAAAAAAACTAAAGTCTGGGTGACTAGAATATGTTATTTCCACTAAGTATTATTAATTATGAGTTACTTTCCTCTGCCAATCGCTTCTACATTTGATGTGTTGTCATTGCAATATTGCATCATTAAAAAAATATTTAATAATAATGCGATTGTTCTGCTGATCAATTACGTTGTTTGATAATCAGAACTGCTTGGACTTCACTGTAAAAACGTTTATTGTTCTATATTCTAACAAAGTTAAGATTTTTTTTTTTTTTTTTTTTTTTTTTTTTAAAATAAAACTTTTTGGAGATACTTTAAAAGCGGAGTCCGAGTCATTGTTCGCTTTCGGTTTTTTTTCCAACCAAGAACCTTTCTTTTTTCCTCAATACATAGGTACATTTTTTTATTTTTCTGTTTTTGTAATCATTTTGAAATTTATTGCTTGTATTCAGAACAAAAAGTAAGCTTCTGTCGAGATAGAAATTCTTGTCACCTAATTGATCACGAAGCCCAGAAGTGTCATCTCTATGACCTTTTTTATTACCTTTTCGTTTCTACTGTTTTTTTTTCTCGCCATTTTTAAATACCACGAGTTGATTTTTAACACTATATTTGTTTTCCGAATTCGTACGACTTAAGTTTCAAAGAAATGTCTAAAAAGTGGATTAAGGCAACATAATGGCGATACGAAACGTAAATCTTAAGCGAGGTTTACAACAAAGAATTTTACATGAAAATTCATTGCCTGGTTGATGACTCTTAGTCTTAGCGCACATTTTATTTTGAGATTTATTTGTTTATCTATAATCTTGTCTCTTTCAATTTCTTTCTGAAAGGGCGTAGCTTTATTTTTGCAAATAAAAGTAAAACTCGTTGAATTTTAATCAAAATTCGTTACAATGTTCAGTCACACTCTTAAAATAAAATAATTTAGATACTGAATTGTGAATTAACGTTATGAATTCACCGAAACAATGAAATAAGTGAACATTTCACTCTCGTTTGCTTAAATTAATCCTGTTTAAATCCATTCTAAAACAACTTTGATTAAAATCGTAATTAAACCTGGAATAACGTTTTGTAAATTATTTTACTCTCGTAAAAGGCAAATACAGAAATACTGTCCAACTTGCACATCGCAAAATAAGCAGAAACTGAGAAACACAATGAAAAGTTTCCTTCTCGTAACTTATTACATGGAAAATGTTTCGTAGTAATCTTTTTGAAGTTTTCTAATTAAAATTATAGGAGTATACCAAATTATAGGAGTATACCAAAAGGCTACACAGATCAACGAATAAAAAAGGCAGGTCCTGAAAAAAAAAAGCTGCCTTAAAATGAATTTAAAAATTTGCAGAGAATAGAAAACAAAAGAATTTTCCATCAGTGTTGGGTCGAGTAAAAACTCAAATCTTTTGCGTTTATTTTTAACTGAAAACACAGAACTTTGCAGCAGGTCGTAGTCAGTCAATTCCAAAATATCACTGTGTTTACAAATCTACACCAAGTAACTTCCTTCCCCAATGAGGTGCGCATAGATAATCAAGACAAAGCGACAAATGAAACTACATGGCAGTTTCTAAGTCGATATGCTTTTGCTTTTTCGCTTGTAAACTGAATATTTACTGAACACATAAACAGATTTCTGTATAACTTGTAATAGTTGGTTTATTTGATATTTTGTAATAATTTATCTCCGAATTACTGGAACGTGAAATACTCTCAACTTCACGTGCCAGTAAAGAAAAAAAAAGTTTAGAGTTTTTAGAGTTCTTTAACTTATTTAAGTTATAATTTCATTTGCAATCATGTATTACTATTATCATTGAACACTAGTTATCGTTATTAAATTATTGTTTTTTTAGTTACTCACGTTTTTTACAACACTAATTATCAACATCGCTATCGTTGGGATCATCGTCACCTTAACTACTTCCGCCACACGCATAAACTTCATTTTTTTTTTTTTTTTTTTTTTTTAAACTCTGCATCAAGAATTTACAATGACCTCACTTTTAAAAACACCCTTTCTTTATTACTACCATCATCATCATTTATTGCATTTCTGGCGATCTTTCCTACCTCTTCGTTTCTCTCTTGATACCTCCACTTTCTAAAAAGTTCATGATTGTTTGCCTCTCTCCGTCTGCCGGTCTGGAATTTTTTTTTTTTTTTTTTTTTAAGTTGTCTTTTTGCACACTGGTTCTGTGGGGTGGTTGATTGGATGGTCTAGACAAACATCCGCTCGCCGGCCCTTCGGAGACGGAACCAGCCTTGCTCTTGTCTTCAGGCAAGACGGGGCATAAAACTGAAGCAGATGTGCCCGATTCCCGGACAGCACCTCCCCATTGCACTAAACTGGAGGGTCGCTCGGACGCCTCTGCAGCAAATGCCGCGTCGACTGGGAAATGTTTACCTCTAGGCTTGTTGAGGGCTCGATCTTGTGCGAAATATATAGGGAGATAAAACAGATCAGGATATTAGCCGCCCAAAATCAAGTATTAACAATAACCTACGCTATCAAAATCTTCATACAAAAGGCCAAGTTTTTTTTTTTTTTTTTTTCTTTTTTTTAAGACTTTCAGCTTGAAATACCTAAATTCATCTTTTCTTTTGTTTCATTAGCTTGTTAACCACTTCTCTGCAGAGTTTCTTGTAGTCTCTAACAACTGCATCTTGGTTTGGCACAGTCATAAGTATGGGAGACACCCGGTGAAGATTGTACCAAACTGAGATCACTAAGTAAACATTTATTTCGACGCCGAGGCGTCCTATAATTTAATGTGCAGTTATTTTTATTAGACACGAGTTTCGAGGAAGATTTTCCGCTACAATTTTAACAAAAATTAAAATGAACATCCCCCCCCCCAAAGCACCTCTCGACCTTTTTACAGGTTTTAAAGATTAGCATTATTAAATATTTTTTAAAATGCACCTGCAAGATTGTCTAATAATTGATGAGGTACTCACGGATTGATTACAACTATTTTTTTTCTCGTGAATTGTATTCTATGCAGTGTTAATTATTTGCTGGGTTGCTTTAAAAGTGATCAAGCCAATGCTATCTGGCCTTGGGTCAACAAACCCTTCTGTGTTTAGCGGCGCGTGTGTATCGTTCGAAGTCGGCCTACAAACAGTTCATAAATTCTAAAAAGTATTTTCTTTTAACGAACAGAACAGTGGAACGGACTGAAAGTCTCGAGTTTTTGTACCATTCACGAGTGAATGAAATCTTTCAAACTGCAGTCATTAGTAAAAAAAAAAAAAAAAAAAGCATTTAGGAAAGTTTCATTATGCAATAAAAATTAGTTTTACTGACATGTAGATAAAATAAGGAACTTTTGATGAAATTAAAGTTGAATTTGTGTTACTCTTAAACTGAATTGCTTTTTTTCCCTTTTCTTTCGGCTATCCTTCATGTTTTGTTTGAATGGACAATTCTTTGGGCTATAGAGAAAAATTAATAATGTTGAATGATTGGAAACGATGAAAATTTCTCTGGAAATCGGTTTGGTAGATAATTCATTTATTCCGAATTTCTGCTCGCTATAAATATTTCCGTGGAATTTATCTTTCGAAATGATAATCTTCGTAATATTTTTGATTTCCAATAGCAAATTTTAATCCAGAGTTTCGTTTTCCGTAGATATGAACTGGAAATTTGTAAGGCGCGGAACTTTTCCCGAACCTTCCAAATTTCCATTCCTGATCTGCGGAAATCGAAGCTTTCA